TCGTGGAGTCGTGGAGTCGGACCGAAGCGAAACCGAAAGTGGGCGTTGCTAATTAGTGCTTGTCCGACTGACCTTCTGTGCGGTGGGTGGGGAGAAGAGATTTATTGTTGGATTAATTTTGAAAAGAGCCAAGAAAAGCGAGAAGCGATGTGGGGGATTCGCCGCCAATGAGCCACTCACTGAACTTCCTGTTAAAATTCGTCTTTGTTTGTGAATCAATATGCTTTGAATCAAATTAGATAAGGAAAACCCCAGAGTGATAACGATTTTCCGTTCGTTTTACGTTCCTCTAGATCTGCATAATCGATTAGCTAATTATTTTTGTGGGTTTTGTGGGCTTTAACTAGCTTTTTACTACTGAAGATTCCTACAACTTAGTCGTAGCAAAGATTTATTTATTATCTTTAAAAAGGACTTCTTTCCATCAATAACTTAATTTTCTTTAAAGTGCAATGTATATTCCAATTTGTTGTTAGTTTTCTAGGTCAAAATATGTCCCCTTTTATTCGATAATTGACACATATATATTCCCAGTCACCATGCGAATAATTCAGTCATTAACCATGCATTATTCATCTTTATTCTGTTCGAGCACCTAATGTATTCGATGCCACAATAACTATAACTATCATCTATTCCTGAGCAAATACGAATACGAATCTCTCGTCTCTATTTACATTCATTGTTGCGTATTCCCACTCATTTACCTCATTCGTTGAATGGAACAACTGTCTCCGTTCGGCAGGGAGTGAAATAATAGTTCTGTGAGCAGGCATACAGTCGTGTACAAAACTATAATTTATATTTCGTTTGCCGGCGATTTATATTTACGCTCACAATATTGGCAGCTCCAACAAGACCGTAGATCACTTTAATGGCATTCCGACTCCGACGCTGACTCTGACTCTGACTCTGGGCTCTTGGGCCATCAATGGCAGCCGCCTGCTTCATTCTGGTAGTAGGCATTCGAGTGGTAATGTCAGGGGCGTTGCTGGAGGGGGGCCTGGGGCTGGGACTGGGGCTGGGGCTGGGACTGGGGCGTGTTCAAAAGTTCAACGATTCGACAGAGCACTTGATACTTTTTATGTTCTCGTTGTCACTGCACGTTGCAGCATTCTCTGCTTGTCAATGGCAGAGCTTGAACAAGTTTTTTCTTTCATTTTCACGAACTTGACTTAGTCACTGTGTACACAACTGTACTGCAGACAAGAGGAACAATCATGCCGGGAATCGCTGATGCTCTTCGGGGGCGCTCTTTGGGGGCAGCAGAACTGAAAGTGAATCAGGAATTTCAGGCAGCGACAGCGGCAGCCAGCAGGAAACTCAACTTGAATCAATATTGAAGTCTCAATCAACATCGACTCGGACGGAATTGAGGTGCAAAATGGCATCGAAGCGGACTGGAGGTGTTCAGTCCATGGGAACACGGAGAGCTCTTAATAATGTGGCTTATCACGGAGAAGTTTTCAGCCATTGAGTGGAAGGTGAAGGCTAGTTGGGGAATCTATAAGGATGCTGCAAGACTGCAGGGTATCACTGTCAAAGAGTGCTCTACTTCCGCTCTATAGACGATCTGGTTCTACAATTTCCTACGGTTTCAAAACCCTACCCTCTGTCCCAGAGTTCATCTGCAATTTGTTCGGCGATTAACTTCGTTTTATTCCCCACTAAAAACACTGATCTTTGCTGACACTTTGAGTGGTCTCCCCATCGCCTCCACTTTCGCTCCGACAGATCCGACAAACATCCATAATTGGATGATTGCTCATTTGCATCCGCACCGCCCAATCTCACCCACTCCCCGCTCCAGCAGTCCCCCGAATGCCGACTTCCCCCCCTTTTCGACCGCTTATCAACATCGATTATAAAATTGTTGTCACGCTTCTGTCACCACACAGAAATGGGGAATAATAACAATAAAACATGAATGCAGTGGTTGAAACGGGAACCGAAGCATTAGATACCCTTGAAGATCCATTGTGGAGGTGGAGCCATGGAACGTTCTATCGATATATCGACAATAAGTTGTATGCCCTGTAAGCAATCCTTGCCTTTTGTGTGGCTCTCGGACATCTGCATGACTCCCTACCCTTTCCCAGGGTATCAGAGGGAGAGCACACTTAACCCGCACTGGCGACGCCTTTCAAAATGATGCCATAAATTCCAAAAATTATGACATAAAATAATAAAAACACAAATGAAAAACGAAGGCAAAAAAGTCATTATCAATTACGCCACTTAATTATTTTTATTGGAGCATAAAATGCTCCATTTCTTGGGAAGACAGCAGCGGCAGAATGGAGCACAAAAGAGCTCAATATCGCATGCATTCTCCCTCCCTCTCCCTCTCTCTTCTTTCTCTCCACTCCACTCCACTCTTTCTCTCCGTCTCCCTCTGTTGTCCCTCCATTTGCCGCACATGGTGTCAATGATGTGCTAATTGTCGCGTGCGCCCACTTCTCCGAGGACCGAGGAGTGTCTGCCTGAGAACATTTCTCGGAGTCTTTGGGTCTCGGGGTCTTGGGGTCGGTCCTGCTCCGCCAAGGGGGACTCCGCTGCCTCGTTTTTGCATAATTTGTTGACAGTTTCTTCGAGTGTATGAATGAATGAATATTATATTGTTGGTCTGGCGACTTGCGGGCTTGGCCCCAGCCCCAGCCCCAGCCCCTGCCCCTGCCCCTGCCCCAGCGACATCTCGAAAATTGGAGGCGTTTATGTTCAGGCACTTTCTAAACGAATTTTGAATAATTCCGTCGTATGGCAAATTATTCAACAGCAGTTGACACCAATCACTCACAAATTGGAGGAAATTCCCTTGGCCAGGGCGATGGAAATAGAATTGGCTGTGTGTCAACGAAAATAGACGACAGTCACTTGATAGGCCCCGTGGAAAACCCAGAAATAGCAGAGCTTTTCCGAAGGAACTCTTCGTGCAATAAATATGCATACAAATCGTACGAGATAGAGATATGCTCTAATCTGTGGAGTCTTAGTGCATTTTCCACTCAATCCACTCAGTCGAAAATCAATGGAAAGATTATCCCCTGCAGAGCCGCATAGACCCCCGATGAAAACTGCTGCAAGTCCAGTAAATGAATTTCCAAGCGACAAAATCTGCAATGCAATTAGCCGACTCGACCATTTTTGTGCATTTTCCAGTTAGCCAATTGTCTAAGATTTTACCGCCAGTCGGCAGTCGGCAAATGCCAGCTGCTCCCCGTCTGACGGAGCAATTAAAAATCATTTAGCGGGCGATGCGGGGGAATGGGGGCCCGGGGGGAGGGAACTATGTGGAGCGACATGTGTTGGTGGCGTTTTATAGCGCATTAATTGACTTTTTGTTGATTAAAAACTTCGTATTTCAATTGTGCAAATGCAGTCTTTGGCTTTGGCTTTGGCTTGGGTTTTCCTCGCTTTTCTTGGGCCTGTTTTTTGTGCAATAATTAAATTAAGGCACGGCCTGGGCCCGACGACCACCCACGGCAAAATTGAGGAGAGCCTGACTGCAGCAATTTGCTGGCCTGTCTCCGGCATTGTCTGCGAGAAAGTTTCCAGCCACAAAAACCATCGGGAAAACATTGTTCGATGGGAGGCATGGGAAGGCTTTATCCGCTGTAATATTATACATTACATTAGCCCGGGCAATTAAGTTTGGGTTTTGTGGCTAGTGGAATGCAATTTCACTTGTCAACAGCCCCAAAGCGAGTCGTCGTCCACGTCATATTTAATCACAAGTTTAGAGCCCGAAAAACGCTCGTCTCGTATATCATCCATGTTGAGGCAACATTGTGGCTGCCAGTGGGCAACATGTTGCCGGCGATTGGACAGGTCTCAAAAGTTTTGGTAGTTCGACCGATGATTGATGGCTCGTTAGCCATTGGGGGCCGACACTTGAATACTAAACACCGAAATGACTCAACAAGTTGCAGCTTGTTGCAACGACAGACGTGTGCAAAGAAGAGCCGGGCGGAAGGCAGGTGGCAGTTGCAGGAAGACAGACACACCCACGCGGGAGCCAGCGAGAGCCAGCGAGAGCTTATGTTTGCATATGAGCTGATTATGATTATAGAGGGGGAGCAGGAGGGGGAGGAGCAGGGCACAGCACAGAAAAAACCCTCATCATACGAAGGGGAAAACTTTTAGTGCAAATGGCAGCCCAGGTAGAGGGGATTACAGTTTTCCTTGCCAAAAGATTATCTCGGTGAATTGTACAAGGTTGTAATGGGAATAAATTCTATGCGATTGCAGATAATTCCATTCCACATTGTGTCAAGGACGAAATGGATTGTCAGGGGATTGCTTGGAAGAAGAAAGATATGGGAAAAGTCTCCACAAATCCATCTTAATGGTGCCCCACTTGTATTCTATCTTATCGCACCTTAACGACCTCCATTCCACAGGAGGCATTCGCTTTGCTATATCTTGTCTATACCCTGTCCGTAGCACATAGAGCCATCCCAGTGCCAGTCCATTACATTGATCATTAAATTTGTGGCTAATTCACATGCAAAATGCAAACAGCGTCTAATGATGCCTCCCCCGCCCACAATCCAGATTCCTTGAGTCTCCCCATTGAGTAGAGTTTCCCGAGTGCGAGTATATTCCGCAACACACTCCAGCCATCATCCAGCAGAAGCACCAGAGAGTAGTAGAACTTTGAAGTACGTCCGTAACCACTCCCCGCCTGTTCTGGGGCAGCCCGGCCATCGTTTGGGCAACACTGTTTGCACTGGCACTAAGCACTTCACTTCCCAGCACTGCCAGCAACTGTTTTTATACTTTGCTGAAACAAAAAGAGTAAAACTTTGGCCAGCCCCGAAATGGCTGCGCACATTAGTGAGTGCCACAGACACAGAACTCGGCAGAACTCAGCAGAACTCGGCAGAACAGAAGAGAACTCAAGACAATTGCAACTTTGTTTGGAGCAACCCACGAGCAACTTTTTGGTACAACTGCAATAATTTTGTCTCCTCTCCTCCGCCCTCTCTCTCTCGTTGCAGGTAAGTGCTGCAAAGACATTAGAAGACGGCAACGATGGCCATGTAAGTACTCAAAACAGCATAAAACCCTCCCACATGTTGCTACTCCCTGTCCCTGCCCCTGCCCCTGCCCCCCAGCCACGTCTTCTATGAGTCCATGAGTCTACGAGTGCCTCAGTCTATGAGTGCTTGAGTGTGTGGTCCGTGTGCCAAGTGAAGTGTACTGAAACCACACCAAGACTGAACCGAACCACTCCTGACAATTGCCGGCACTTCCGTTGCATTGAACTTCGCCATATACGCCCCCATCATCGTCATCGTCGTCATCATCAGAAATGCATCTGTCGTTGGTGCGCCACACGGGTAGATGACCTGCGAACGATCCCATACACACACACACACACACAGTCGTACTACAATAGGCGTCTGCTTAACGATCGTGACCAATTTGTTGGTCAACGAACAACAAGATCTCCCCTCCCCTCCCCCCCAGCGCAGAACCTCAGCTGCATCTGCTGTCGCTTTGCAAATATTTACTCTATGAATAGAGAACGGATCTGCCTCTCGCCTTATCTTCGAGACCAGGGAACAGGGGGGGAACACTATTTGTTCTGCTGCTGCTGCTGCCGCTCGGCACACCCGCCCCTCGTTGTCACCGCACCCACTGGAGACGGAGACCTGTCTATCAATATGAAAAGCGCTGCGGCTGTGCCTTGAATATTCAATTAAAAACCGGCGGCGACTGACGATTGCCATGCAAAAAATAGGCAGAAGGGAGCCCGGGAATCGAAAGACGAAGATGGAAATACACTAGCAGGAAGATCTATAAAGCTACATCCCTCTCCGTCTCCATTCCTTAATTACTAGTAGTATTTCAAGTTTAATAGACTCTGCTTCCGTTTCCGCTCTGCTTCCACTCCGACTCCAGCGAACCCACGGCCATTTAAGGGTATTCGCCAGCGATTCATTACCATACTCGTACTCGATATAGCTCTTGGCGCTTGTGTCAGTGGCTCAGAGTGAAAACGTGACTTGTCTGGCTCTTGTCTGTCAACAGTCTGGTCGGGTCTGTTATGGGCTGCTCTGTTCTCTTCTCTTCTGTTCTGGGCGAAATGATTCGCAATGAACTTAGTTTAATTGAAACGTTGGCCAGAACTTGACGCTGATTTGACTGGAAATGTCGTGGGCTACACACTACTTGCATTACTTACTCTCTGACCTACAATTGGGTTGGAATGGGGGTTGGGGTTGGGGTTGGGGTTAGGGGTTTGGGGTTGACGGTAATGCGGGCGAGAGACAAACAAACCCCTAGCCTGGCATGTTTCTGCGCAAATTTATGACTTTCATTTGTGTTTTTGTCGCACAAATCACGGAAGAGCCCTGCCAGCAGTTGGTACAGCGACAGCGACAGCGATAGCGACAACACCGAATAAAATAAATTGAAATGTGGGTCAATGTTTATGTGGTTGTGGCCACGTTTTCAAGAAGGGAATGACCCCAGACCGAGCAGAACAACCCCCGCCTTAAATGCGCGCTTTTGGAAAACAGGGATTGGCATTTTGTTTGCTCAACTGCCAATTTATTTGCCCGAAAAACCCTAAACTGTCAAATGCCGGAACCGGAACCCGATCCCACGCCCCACAACAATCAGATTTCACTGGATCCCTGCATCTGCATATTCATTCACGACAATAAATGCAGGGAATGAAAGGATTCGGGTCTACAGATACCCTTTTCGTGGGTTTGTGTCGTTGGAATCTCCTAGGGGAATAGCAAGTAGCAGACCTGTTCTTCGACCGATCATATCCTGGGAATATTAATCCGATATATTATACCGAATGTCCATCGGAATATTCATGGCACCCTCTTCTCTACGCCGTGGAAATATATTAAATATAAACGAGAATATTTTAAACAAATATTTAGTTGTCCGCCTTTTGGGGGGGGCGGACTCCAATCCAAACAATCAAATGGACAATTGGCAAATTCAATTTGTGACCCGCAAAAACCCCATAAAGGCATTCATTTGTTCAGTCTGAAGGAGGGATATAGTACATACGTATGTATTCACGAGTACGAGTGTACGTACGAGTGTGCTGGGTCCTGTAGAGTGGATTTATAGATTTATATAAAACATTTTCCGCTGTCGTTTGCGATTTTAATTTAATGCAAACATTTGTGCAACAAAGATTAATTATTAAATATATATGAATGTGGATATCTGGTTATGTGGATGTGTGGATATGTGGCCAGATTTTATTGCTGCCACATGGAATTTTAATTACTTTTTTACTCCTATTTGGAGCAGTGCTGGAGGGGCCCAAGTGAGCAGCTGTCGAATGCAGCTTATAACGAATGTTGCTTATAAATATGGCAAACATTTCAGGGCTCCCATTGGCCTGCTATTTCCTATCTTTGCTTCACTTTCTACTGAATTTGTGGCACAAACAGACTTCTGTTTGCCCAAGAAACACACAAGTTTTATGGTTGAAAAAGTCAAAAGGAACACAATTGAAGTGCAAATGGGAGTCTTTTCTATGGGTTTAATGTTTATTCAGAGCAGGGAATGATATTGGAAATGGTGTTGCATCAGTGATGAATGCAGTCGGAAGATCTGCAGCAAAGTGGATGGATTGCAAGGAATGACCGTATCCAAACACCTGGCAGCATAGAAATGTGATAAAGTAGGTGTCTGTAGGGTTTCCCCCAGGCTTCCAGAGACTCCCCTTCCTCCGGCGTGCCCTAATATCCCTCTCCGCTGCACCTTCACAAAGGATCTCCGGAGGAGCCAGGCCACAGTCGCACAGATTGCTTGTATCGTCATCATCTTTACTAATTAGATTTGTGTACACGCACAGGTTCTACCTGCTCCTGCTGCCCCTCGTGGCCACAGTTCATTAGCCTCCATTAGAGAAGGGAAAGGCGGCAACTACAATAACCAAAGGGTGGCGAGGGGCAACAGATAGAAGAGTAGAGGCAGGGCTAGAGCTAGGGGGAACTGCATTTACAGTACAGATAATTGTAAGACTCCGAAGATGAAGCCGAAGCCGAAGCCAGGGACGGAGCCATTCAATTACTTAGAGCAAACATCTCCGAACGAAAAAAAAGGCGGGGAGGCGGGGGGAAAAAAGGGTAGCAGCCGGCAACAAACCTCAGACAAAGTTCAAAGTGCAGGCGCTCTGCAGGGCTCCCCCTGAGAGCTGGGACCAACAGACACGGCACTTGTTCTCCGGGTTTAACGTACGATAAACCCCCCCTCCCAGCACATCCCCAGACCAAGCCCCACTTCAACGGAACTCAGGAATGATAACAGCGGGCGGCATCGTGGAGGAGCGGAGAAATCTCAAGCAGTTTGGGGCAGCCGTTGACACTGGTTCGAGTGGGGCGGGGAGGGGGAGGGGGAGGGAGGGAGGGAGAGCAATTAGCCACCGGATTATCGGAAGCTGTCGAAAAATATTTGTATATCAGCAATCAATTGAAAGTTTTTTGTGGCTAATGAAATCACTCAAGCGAAAAGAACTAAAGTTCCCAGAAAAACGAACAAAAAGATACTCAGAGGAGCCCAAAAGATACAAGAGATGAAAGGAATGGGGGCTCCAGGGCAGGGCATCGGGGGATTCAGCTGAGAACCAAGCCAATGAACCTTAAATCAGAATCAAAGGCAATTGATGTTGACTTGAGCATGCCCCCCCCACCCATACTCCTACCCCCGCCCCTCCCCCGTGCTCATCCTCTCCTGTGCTTTGGTAAAATACAAAATAAAAGCCTGCACAAAATTCTCAAGAAACTTTACACCAAGAGCAGCGATAATGTTAATTTTGGGCCCCATCCTCGTGGCTCGTGGATCTCAAGCCCTTCGACAGGCATTTGGCAACCTCGTCGTCATCATTTATTCAAGGCAACTTAAGCTCTGTCTCTGCCACGGCCTGTCACGGAGCGATAAGGCCCTCTCGGCGAATTATGAAAGGGAATGTTTAAGAAAATGAAAAATTGAATAAGACCCGAATGAAATCAATAAATTGCAGCATCCCAGAGGAGCAGGGAGCAGGGAGCCGAGCCGGCTGAAGGATGTGCCCGCAGAGGAGGTGGAACTTCCATAAACTGGCATTAAATATGCATGCGAAACACTTTCGCCGGGTTCTCGCACACGCATTTATTCCCGGGAAGAACCCGCGCAAAGCATCCGAAAATAATGTGTGTGCAAAGGCAAGACGGAGGCAAAGAAATGTTCGAAAAGATGAAATGAAGAAATATGCGTTTCCGAAGAAACGCTGAGGCCACCGCAGGAGGATGTGCGGCACGAGGGGCACTCAGGACTGGGACTCGGCGAGAGATTCGCATGTGAGGACACCTTTTCCAGGAATTACTCCGAACGAAAGATGAATCTTTGCCTGGAATTTATGCACTTAAAAATGGTTCTGAAAATGTAATTGATTGACAGAGTTCTAGGGAGAGAAGAGAGGGACATTCGAGGCCTTAAAGTTGAAGAATTGAGCGACGATATACGACAGCGACAAAGGGAAACAAATCTTCCATAACTTTCGAATATCGCTGTTGGAATAATATCTTAAATAGTTGGAAGGAAGGCCATTCCCTCTCTTACACATTTATCTGCACAGCTCTTAAATTCTTAAAGGATATCTCTGCAATTCCCCCATGGGGGAGTCTCCCCAGAAATATTGTCCACTCCCGTCTCTTGAGCATCCCTAGTGCCGTCTGGTCTTGACCAGATCCCCAGCGAACCGAACGAATTTATTTATTTTCAATCAATGCCACAAGCTCCAGTTGTGCCCCGGACTGCTGGCCGCTTCCCGCTTCCCGGAGCAACTTTGTCGCCTCGTCTTGCCACTTTTTGAGCCAGGGACTGGGCCTGACGGGGCAGATTGCTGCGAGTGCGGTTGTTTGGCGAGAGGAGCGCGTGCCGCTTGGAATATTTATGAGCTGCGTCGTCTTTGGCCATCAACAGACGGAAATCAATGTTGACCCACTTGGATGGGCGGCAAGGACGGGTCCTCGGTACATGGGAGTACATGGGGGAAGGAGTGGGACTGGCACTGGGAAGG